TGCCCGCAGCGGCTGGAGGAGCCAGAGCAGCCGGTTCCTAAAGTTTGGGGAATCCCGTCCCTGCCACTGTCGTAGGAGTGACCCTGGAGTCCCCAGATGACGTCAGGGCGGCGGGGTGCTGGGTGATGCTCTCTGAGAGCTGCTTCTTGCTGTCTGGCCGCAGCGGGAGGGTGGTCCTCACGTGGGGGGAGCTGAGGTCCAGCAGAGTTAAATGGAATGGTCGCTGCAGAGGAGGGTGTCTGGAAATAGTGGTCCTGCTAGTGTAGAAAGAGGGTAGCTTTTAAAGTTGGAAATGAATTGCTTTACTCCAGGGAAAAAGATATATGCACTTCTATATTGAAGCAGGTTTTCTGAAGTGGATCCGCTTTTAGTCTGGAATAAAGCGTCCACACGCAGAGCTTTTTCAGAGTATCTTAGTCAAAATAAAGATTGAAGCAACTTGCCTGTGATCACACTAAGACCGTGGGACAAAAGGAGGTAGGAATTGAGGAAGGGGAGGGATTCAGTGACTTTGCCCCAATGCCAGCTTAGGAGTGAGCTCTGACAGCCCGGCATGACGTGCCAGGGGATGCATGGCTGCACCAGGCTTTTGCACAGCGAGTTCAGCGCGTTTCTCCACTGCCTGGAGGACGTTTTCCAGGCAGGGCAGGCAGCAGCTTCCCCAGCGGCTGCCGTCCTGCACCAGCAGGGCTGCGGGACGGGCAGAAAGCCGGGACGGAATTTCGGGTTGTAGTAAAGAGGCCGAAGCGGTTGCCGGCTTGGAGGAAAACGGCCCGTCCGAGCCCTCCGCCGGATTTGGGCAGCCCACGGGGGCTGCTGGGGCAGAGCCGGGGGGTGCCCGCGGGCCGGGGGTGCCGCAGCCGGTCCCTCTCCTCCGCGTGTTTGGGTCGCTGCTGCGGGGACGGCGGGTGGGATGGGGCTGGGTCGCGGGGTGCTGGCGGAGGGGGGATGCTGCCCGCAGGGTTGTGCGGGGTCTCATCCTGGCTCGGCAGCAATGCGTCGTGGCGAGTGTGCCGATTATGAACTCTGGAGTCCTGATAATTCATAATTCTAATGATGAATCCAGATTTGTAATCTAATCCAGATTAATTATCTAATCCAGATTCATAATTCTGGATTCATTCAGACGCAGGGTATGCGGGTTATGAATTCTGTGGATTGGAGGGTAAAAGGCCACTGAAAAGATGAATAATGAGAGACTTCCCGTTATCTCCTCCTCCGTCTGTTTCTCTCCCTTCCTCCCCTCCTGCTCTCCTCCTCCTCCTCCTCTCCCAACCTCGTCCCCCCGCCATCCGGATGCCCAGACAAGGGAGTCACTTGTCCCACACCACCACTTTGACTGTCAACACCAACCCCAACATCAGCATCAAGTCGGAGCCCGTCTCGCCCAACCGGGAAAGAAACACTGCCACCCCGCTCAGCACCTTCCCCCACCAGCCCCGGCACGAGCCCACCGGCCGCTCGCCCGTCGACAGCCTCAGCAGCAACACCAGCTCCTACGAAGGCAGCAGCGAGCGGGACGATCCCGCCCGCCCCGATTTCGGCTCATCCCTGGGCCTCCTGCGACCCACCAGCGAGCCCGAGGGGGAGAGCCCCTCCGTAAAGCGCATGCGGTTGGATACCTGGGTCACATAACGGGTCCCCGTCGTCCCTGGGAGCGCCGCCGGCTCGCAGCGGGGCCGCGGGTATGGGGTGGGGGGAAATTATCATAAACTGCCTGAGAAATAGCTTTAGGATTTTGTAGGCATTCATTCTAGCACAGCAGGCGACGCACGCAGTACATACGGCGCTCCTCGGCCGGGGGCCGCTGGCTCGGGAATAGCCGGGCGCGTGGGGAATTGGGGGACGGAAATCAAATAGCTGCGTCCTCGCCGAAAAAAAGCAGACCCTGGCGACGCTCATCCCCGCGATCCGGGCGGACCAGGCGGCAGTCGGTGCCCGCTGACCAGCGAGACCCCGGGGACCTTGGTCCCCACCGGGAGGTCGGCCCGTATCCCTAGGGAAGAGCGCCTGCGGCAGGACGGGCTCCGAGGGGAGATGGGGTACGGAGCATCCCCGAAACACGCTTTCGAGCAGCGCCTGGGCTCTCCTAGGGCCATGCGCAGCGAGGGGCGGTTCGGACACGATCCAGCTCTCAGAAAGGTTGAAGGGCTTTGGCAGGCGCCAGTTTTCCTAAAAAAAAAAAAAAGATTTTCCTAAAAAAGGCTTTTCCTAAAAAAGGCTTTTCCTAAACCGGCTGGGAAGGCAGGCTGGCATCGGCCGAGGGCGGCCCGGAGAGCCCGGCTTCAATATTAAATGCGATGCAGACGCATCTGCAGCCTGCGTGTGCTGCCCGGGTCCTGTAAAGGTGTGTTGGGGGAAGAAGAGGCAGATTTTTAAGGCTTAATCCTGTTTCCGTGAAAAACAGATGCAGACAGCGTCCTTTCCAGCAGGAACGGGAACTCCACTCTTTCTGGCCATGGTGATTTATTTAAAAGTGCGGTTAACCTTTCCCAAATGCAGAGGGGAAAGTCTCGCCCCTGCCTGGGCGAAGCATCTTTGAGGAGGAAGGATGCATTCTTGCTGCTTTTAAAGAAAATTGCGGGTTTTACCAACCAAAATTTGTAAATGCATTTTAAAAATGCATTCCCATTCCACATGGGCCAAAGCTTTAAATTAGAAAAATAGGAATAAATGGTTTTTATTGAAGGATGCAACTGAAATAATTATCCTTTGGGATTTTGCCTGAAGGTTCCTAGGCCTCAAAAGGTGAGGGTGAGCTGTGTGGAAAATCTGCTGAAGTCTCGACGGGGTGATTTAGTGGAAGGAAAAAGGAGGAAAAACCAAGGAATTTCTTTGTGCTACCGGTTGCTCCGGTGGTTTCCCAGGGGCAGGCATCAGCGCCCTGACCCCAAAACGCCGCAGCCAGCTCAGGGCTTGAGGTTTTGGAGGAGAAAAGCCCGTTCCTGGCTGGGCTAGGCTTTAGGGATGGCTTTCTCCCCGCAGGCGCTCTTCTCCGGGATGCCGGTCCCTCGTCCCCGTCCCAGCCTGCCGCCTCGTCACCCTTGTACCGCCTGCGCGGGGACGGCCCCGGCCCCGCTCACCCCTGGGGTCACGGTCGCAAACCGGCACAAAACCTGCCCGGATGCCACCTTTGCCAAACGGCTCCGTCGGCATCCGGAGCCTGGATGGGCTCTGGAGGCTGCGGAGGAGCCGGGAGCTGCTTTGGGGCCGGCTTCCCCCCACGCTGGTGCAAAGAGAGAGGAGCAAAAAGTCACGGTAGGATTTATCCCCCTCCTAGAGCCCTCCGCCGAGCATCCAGTGTCCAGCTCAGCCCGCTGAAATGAGTCGTATTGCATAAAAACATACTGGGACGATGGCAAAACAGAAGCAAATTTATGAGGTTTTTTTTATAAACTTTTCCCGAGCAAGCGTTTTTCGCCAAGTTTCTAATTGGAAAAGCAAGACAAAAAAGTTGATGATTATTAGGAAATGAACAGGGGCGACTTAAAGTGAGTGGTTGGAGGAGGAGGGATACTCCAAAAATTGGGTGAAACTGGGAGAAACGATGGCCAAAGAGGGAAAACGTGGCCGCACCCTGCCCGGTCGGGCACAGTGGTGCGCGAGCTGCTGCTAAAAACGGCGTTGCAGAAAGGCCGCCGGCACGTCCCTTCTGGGCCCACGTCTACCCTGACTTTTCCTCTTCTCCCCGGCGATGGAATCGGTTCGGGTGCGGAGACCCGGCAGAGGGACCGGGGTGGCCGATGCTCAGCCCGGGGCTGAGCTGCCGGAGCCGCCGATGAGCCGATGCGCTGCGGTGCCGGCTCACGCCGAGCCTTGCCCGGGTACCGGCATCTCACCAAAGCCCAGGGCGAGCACCTTGCCCCGAAATCCCTGCCTGCGGGAGCGAGGCCCCGAGAGATGGGCCGGCTAAAATTTCCCCATGAAAACCTTTGAAGTATCAAATTTCTGCCACCATTTTTCCAAATGATGATGATTTTTTTTTTTTGATGATGAATTTTTAATTCCCTCTCCTCTTCCCACGCTCCGGAGGGCCTCGGGCAGGCGATGGGAGCCCCGCGACGCCGGGGAGGGCTCCCGGCAGGTTTTGTGCGGTTAAACCCCCCCGTCTCCCTCTCCCCGAGCCGGTACCGCCGTGTGCCGGGGAGACGCTCGGACCTCACCTCCAAAATGCCGGCGCGGCATCGGCGACAGAAGCGGATCTCCCTCCCTCCGCCTCCGTTTGTCCATCTGGGAAGCGGGAGAGACGCTGCGGACCGTGGTCCTCCTCGCCCTCGCTGGCCCCCCTGACCCGGCGATGCCGGGCGCACCGGACACGCACCTGAGCTCTTTGCACGGCCTTGCTTTGGAAATTAGGCGGGATTAACGACGTCTCATTGGTCTCATTTTCTATATATATATTTTTTTTTTCTTCACAAAAAGAAAATAAACCCAACCAAGCGGTTTCTCCCCCGCTGGGGAGCGGTGCGGCAGGAGGTGCCGGCAGAGCAGCTCGCTCCGGAGACACCGGCGGGGAGGAGGCGGGGAAGACCCCCCCCCGGCACTCGACGCCGGCCGCGCCGCCGGGGCCCCGGGGGGCAGCACACCCGACGGG